TGTTGGGGAACATAGTAATTTCAAAAAAAATCCTACGCACACGCAAGATCATGGTGATGCATAGCAACGAGAGGGGAGAGTGTTGTCTACGTACCCTCGTAGACCATTTGCGGAAGCGTTATATCAACGCGGTTGATGTAGTCGTACGTCTTCACGTCCGACCGATCCAAGTACCGAAAGCACGGCACCTCCGAGTTCTGCACATGTTCGGCTCGGTGACGTCCTCGCCTTCTCAATCCAGCAAGAGGGGCGAAGTAGTAGATGAGTTTCGGCAGCACGACGGCGTGGTGACGGTGTTGGTGAAGAACAATCTCCGCAGGGCTTCGCCTAAGCACTACGAAAACTATGACGGAGGATAAACTAGAGGGGACAGGGTTGCCGGCACACGGCTTGGTGTTTCTTGATGTGTCTTTGGTGCTAGCCCTACCCCTCTATTTATATGTTGAGCCCTGGGGTCGAAATTTGGAGTAAAAGCCTCCTCAAAGTCGGTTTCACCCGAAAGGCAAGAGTCCTTCTCGGACTCCAGGGCTAGACGCCAGGGTTCCCGGCGTCTACCCCCTGGACGCTAGGGTTCCTGGCCTCTAGCCTCTGGTCTCCGCAAAACTTCCTTTTGCACTTTCCAAAAGCCTCGTGGCCTTTCCCCTTTGGCCCAGATAAAGTGTTCTCATGCCCAAACATTTCGGTAAACATCCGGAACCCCTTCCGGTGAATTCCGGAACCCTTCCGGAGATCAAACACAACTATCCCATATATCAAACTTTGTCTCCGGACCATTCCGGAGTTCGTCGTCATGTCCGTGATCTCATCCCGGACTCCAAACAACATTCGGTCATCAACATACATAACTCATATAGTACTATATTGTCAACGAATGTTAAGCGTGCGAACCCTACGGGTTCGAGAACTATGTAGACATGACCGAGACACCTCTCTGGTCAATAACCAATAGCGGGACCTGGATGCCCATATTGGCTCCTACATATTCTATGAAGATCTTTATCGGTCAGACCGCATAACAACATACGTTGTTCCCTTTGTCATCGGTATGTTACTTGCCCGAGATTCGATCGTCGGTATCTCAATACCTAGTTCAATCTCGTTACCGACAAGTCTCTTTACTCGTTCTGTAATACATCATCCCGCAACTAACTCATTAGTTGCAATGCTTTCAAGGCTTATAGTGATGTGCATTACCGAGTGGGCCCAGAGATACCTCTCCGACAATTTGAGTGACAAATCCTAATCTCGAAATACGCCAACCCAACAAGTACCTTTGGAGACACCTGTAGAGCACCTTTATAATCACCCAGTTACGTTGTGACGTTTGGTGGCACACAAAGTGTTCCTTCGGTAATCGGGAGTTGCATAATCTCATAGTCATATGAACATGTATAAGTCATGAAGAAAGCAATAGCAACAAACTAAACGATCAAGTGCTAAGCTAACGGAATGGGTCAAGTCAATCACATCATTCTCCTAATGATGTGATCCCGTTAATCAAATGACAACTCATGTCTATGGTTAGGAAACATAACCATTTTTGATCAACGAGCTAGTCAAGTAGAGGCATACTAGTGACACTCTGTTTGTCTATGTATTCACACATGTATTATGTTTCCGGTTAATACAATTCTAGCATGAATAATAAATATTTATCATGATATAAGGAAATAAATAATAACTTTATTATTGCCTCTAGGCATATTTCCTTCAGGGGGTTCGAAGGGGTAGCGTGGCGCCTCTAGAGCATCTAGGCCGTTGAGGGGAGAAGCAGACAGGGTGGAGGTGGCGATGCGTGTGCGTGCGTGCCGCGGGCACACGCCTCGCGTCCTTCTGGCGCGAGGTGGGATACGGTGGCGACACTGGTGGGCTGGGCCAGGTAGGTGGGCCGCCAGGTAAGAAGAGGCCCATGTAAGTGCTTTCTGTTTCTGTCTTTATTTTTCTGTTCTGTTTTTCTGTTTTGCAATTTGTTTGCGATTTAGTTCTAATACCAAATCACTTTTAAACTTCATGAAAATAATTGTGTGAACTAAGTGGACTTATCCAAAGCCACACAACAATTTTTGGAATTATTGAACACATATTTAATATATATAAATATAAATTCAAATCAAATAATTATTGAATTAACTCAAAAGCCCAAAATAAATATTTTTGGGATTCCAAAAATATTGATTTGAATTTTACCTCTTACCAATATTTTTATAGACTAAAATGAACATTTTCTTGGGTTCATTTGATGCAATTCTTAATTTGGCCATTTTTTAAAAGATTGCTAAGGCTTGAGCATTTCCTCAATTTAGCTTTGTGAAAACCAAAATGATGGCATGATGAAATGCAATGACAAACAAAGGCTAATGCTAGGGCTGTGACAAGGATGGATGCAAGACCGCACGGGAGGACACGGTCGTGGTGGCGAGCCGGTGGGCGGTGGCGCCACACGGACCTTGCATCCGGCATGGGGCCATGTGTACCAAAGTGCCTACCTCAGTGCTCCGGGTCAGGGGTAGAGGCAACAGTCGGTTTTAAATTTCTGTCGACCGTCGATCACATTCCGCTTGCTGTTGACCTCCACACCACACACGTACAACACAAGTAAGTTAATTTGGCTACTTGGCTTCTTATTTAAGCATATTATAAAATTACGCATTTGTTTACACTTTGCTATGAATTCATGGATTATTTAAACAAGGGCAAATGATAATTATCTAAAGTTATTAAGTAGTGCAATACATTATTATTGTTTGCAATTTGCAATGTGGGGATATTTGTGAATTATTAATTCATCCCAACGAGCATTACTTAAAATTTTGTACTTTAAATTTGAGGATGTAAACCAAGTTGTTAGCCTTCAAAAATTTGAATACACACTCCTCAAATCCTGGGCCCGCCCCTGCTCCATGGTCTTCCGCCAGATCACTGCCCTCCTGGTAGTTGCTCGCAACATCACCGCTGATGTCTTGGTCCATCGGAGCATGGTGAAGGTTTGGGTCCAAAATTTCTCCGTTGTAGCATGAGCTTGTGCCGACCTCCGGCCACCCCTGTATGCTATACTTACCCTTGTCGTGTTAACCGTGACTTAATGAAAATGTTCAGGGTTGGCTTTTCAAAAGAAACTCTCTTTATTAATCTACATATGCAAAAGAAAAATCAAAATCAAAATAAATATCATGTTTGCTACTCCCTCGTTGAACTGCAAAAACGTCTTATATTTGATACAGAGATAGTATTTGACAGGCGCCAATCACCTTCTCCAAAGGGCAGCAGCGGAGCTCTTCAGGCCGAGCAGGAGGCGAGCTCAAGCTAGAGATCGCTGCGAAGCCCGAGTCGAGTTGGCGGCTTGACAAGTGCAGACGAGAGGCCTTTTAGTATTTGATTCAAGCTCGGATTAAATGGAGCCATGAGACGGTGACGCGGCCGAGAGGCCCCGACATGAACTCGCTAGAGGCGAGGCAGGGGGTGGCACGGAGGTCGGAGGAGGAAGATGAATGGCATCCGTTGGATTTGAATCCAGTGGCAAATTTGACTGAACGGCAAAATATATCAGGCATGGTGACGGATAGCCGCGCCCAATAAACACCATCATATGGTGACAAATTCTTTCCAGATCGTTACATCGCTCTCTTTCTGGTTATAATAAGAGAATCTACACATAAGTGATAAGCCCACACAATTCCATCATATAGTACACGTCGATAACCCATGGATAAATTTGCAGACAAAATCATCCGCAGCGGAGATGAGAACTTGGAATACAGACAATGCGCAGCGGAGATGAGAACTTGGAATACAGACAGATGCATGAGACGGCAATCTGAATTCTTAACAGGGCATTTGAACCGGTCACTCTTGGCGTCTTCAGGACGTCACTCGGATATTCTCCGCTTATCCCATCAGTGAAAATGTCATGGACGATGACGTGTTTAGAAAGGTCTAATCCGCCTGCACTCCCCAGGGAAAGAAACAAATAACTGCCGAAACAACACATGTTTGCCCAAAACTTGTCTCCTCTGTAGCTTCCAGTCGGCCTTCTGGGCTGCATCTCGAAAAACTAGCTAAAAAACATACGCGCTTTCGCCCTGAAAATCCGAGAACAAACCGCCCAGCTGCCGTGCCGAAAGCCCGCACAATGCGGTACGGCGCAGCTGTTAGCTTTGGCCAAAATTTGATGAGAAATGAGCACATGAGTTCTGATAGCACATGAGTTTGCATTCTATCTCTTTGGACGCTCCTTCTTGGACACAAGTGCATCAGCAAACTGGTGCAGGTGCAAACAAACGCCCCGAGCTGGTTGCGGACAGTCTAGACATCGACAACCTCGAGTTTTTATCTGCAGTCCGAAAAGGCATATACTCGAATTATGCCCCAGTTATTCCAAGACACCCGCATTGGTTATGTAAGCACTCATTAACATATTATTATGCACATCAAAATTTTCTTGATCTTAACTACATATTCAACTATTTTGAGGAATCATATCACCTCCAGGATGCCAGAAATATTAGTTAACTGGCAGCTTTGGGGATCTCTCAAGTGAGATCCTGGACATTATTAACGGACCGGGTTGCCAGATACATCTAAGTCAAGGTGAAGGAAATAATTGAGTTGTTTCACACAAAAAACTATGCAAAAGATCATTAATGTATCACATGCTCTCTCTCTATTCCAACAGAACCAACAGCCATATTATTTCGAGCCGTTCATTCTCCAATGAAAAATGAACTTGGCAGCACACTTAACCCTGCCAAAACTAAAGCAAACACTGCCACATAAAAGTGATGTAATATGCTAATGTATACCTTGACCAACTCGGCATATTTTGTTTTCAACCTTGAGAGGACCTACGTTTATTGTTTCACACCATTTTTGGAAACATGTTCGTCAGCACCTACATGTAAACATGCACACAGGTATGCAACACCTACTAATACCATGCCATCTATGCACCTCCTCTTTCATGGTTCCCTGCTGCAAAAGCGCAACCAAGTCCACCGGAAACAATGGCCACAGCCTATGATGAAGACCACTCCATTTCACCATCTCAGAATGACGATACAGATGATAGGAGGAGCACCATCCCAGCAGCTAGTGCTGATGAGAAGCCATTCCCGTTCTTCGGGCTGCTCTGCTACGCTGATAAGGTGGACTGGCTCCTCATGGCCTTGGGAACCGTCGGGTCTGCCATCCATGGCATGGCATTCCCGATCGGATATCTCCTTCTCGGAAAAGCACTTGATGCCTTCGGAACCAACATAAATAATCAGGAGGCCATGGTCCATGCATTGTACAAGGTAAACATGCATGCACATATTACCCTCCTGAACTTGGGTTGTATTGGTCTACAATTGCTTTTAACACCATTGTTTTTTCCTCCTTGATGCTTGAAGGTGGTTCCGTATGTGTGGTACATGGCGGCAGCTACTTTTCCTGCTGGAATGGTTGGTAAGTCAAGACTCAAGGGACTTTTAGTTTCTTCGATGTTGCATGTTGCATGTTTGGTAAAAAGAAATGATAACAAGCCACACACTATTTGCATTCTCCTGTAGTGGTTCAAAGAGGAACTAATATGGAGAGACAAGAATGGAAAATATAGACTCCACAACTTCTTTAAATATTTTCCATTGATTTATGGTCTGATTTTATACACTTCGCTCCTGGATTGCTCAAAAGAGAACTTTTTTTATGGTCGCACGTTTGCCCAATCCCTATTGCTTCAAAATCCATGATTTTTTAAAGGACATAAAAGCACATCCTAAAATCTAACAGAAGTACACTAATGTGCAGGATGAATGATATATTAGAAACATAATACTCCCTCCATTCCATAATAAGTGTCATGGTTTTAGTTCAAATTTGAACTAAAACCACAACACTTATTATGAAATGGAGGGAGTACTTGGTTATGTTCGAAAAAAAATGAGAGTTAAGGAGATCTAATGGTAGCAATATTGGCTGGCAAAACATTGCTTACATTTCCCCTGATAAACTGGCTGCAGAGATCTCCTGCTGGATATACTCGAGTGAGAGGCAGTTAGCACGCATGCGGCTGGAATATCTGAGATCAGTTCTCAATCAAGAGGTTGGTGCCTTCGACACAGACTTGACCACTGCAAACATCATCACCGGGGTAACCAACCACATGAATGTCATACAAGATGCAATTGGTGAGAAGGTAATGCATTTCACAATCATATTGAACAATAACTGTATGATTTCTAAAGTCCTGTGGAGAAGTTGCATCTGAGCTCAATTTTCTGCAGCTTGGTCATTTCGTCGCAAGCTTCTCCACTTTCTTTGCTGGTATAATAATTGCATTTGCCAGCTGCTGGGAAGTCGCGATGCTCTCCTTCCTGGTTATTCCTCTGATCCTCGCTATTGGAGCCACATATACGAAAAAGATGAATGTCATATCATTGTCACGCAATGCTATTGTCTCACAAGCAACATCTGTCGTAGAACAGGTAACCACGTAGATGAGTCAACTCTCCGTACCTGAAGCTAGGTTATTTGAATAAACAGAAATATAAAAAATAAAAATGTTATCAGAATTTTTTTTAACTTTGTAATCCTTGTTTGCATTTGTGGGCAGACTTTGTCACATATCAAGACTGTCTTCTCCTTTGTCGGAGAGAACTGGGCCATGGAATCCTTTGTGCAGTGCACAGACAATCAATACAAACTAAGCAAGAAGGAGGCGGTGATAAAGGGAATAGGGCTGGGCTTGTTCCAAACAGTGACCTTTTGTTCATGGGCACTGATGGTTTGGATTGGGGCAGTTGCAGTAAGCAACCGGGCAGCAACAGGAGGTGGCACGATAGCTGCCATCATGAGCATCCTCTTTGGCGCAATGTAATAAACTACACCCTATCTGATTGCTTCAATCGCCAAAACTATTTTCATTCAAATATGATTTTTTGCAAGGTACATAGGTAGTATGCATGCATATTCTTTCCTTTTCCATGAATTATAATCAATAGACTTGACTGATTTCACCACATGGAGTGCAGATAAATTACCTACGCTGCACCAGATCTTCAGACCTTTAATCAAGCAAAGGCTGCAGGAAAAGAGGTCTTCAAGGTGATCAGAAGGAATCCATCCATAAGTTACGGAAAAGGTGGAGCGATATTAGAAAAGGTTTATGGAGAGATCAAACTGCATGGGGTGCATTTCGCCTATCCCTCCCGCCAGGATAAGCCAATTCTCCAAGGATTCTCACTGTCAATCCCCGCAGGAAAAGTCGTTGCTCTGGTAGGAAGCAGCGGCTGTGGGAAGAGCACAGTTATTTCACTACTTCAAAGGTTCTATGATCCAACCTCAGGTAGGCAACTGTATGTGTGATCTAAGTCAATAAGTATATATTATTAAAGTTCTATGTCAGAATTAAAGTTAGAATTTGGCTGTTATCAATTAAAATGCCTATGTACTTGCAAGCTAAACTAGTCATAATATTTCAGTCAGTGATGAGACATAATGCTGCAGGTGACATATTCATTGATGGCCACAGTATTAAGAAACTAGATCTGAAATCCCTGCGGAGAAATATAGCTTCAGTATCTCAGGAGCCATCGCTGTTTTCTGGTACTATCAAGGACAACTTAAGGATTGGTAAAATGGATGCAACTGATGAAGAGATAATTGAAGCAGCAACAACAGCTAATGTGCATTCATTCATATCTAAACTTCCCAATGAATACTTGACAGAGGTACGTATGTGTTCAGCAAGGAATGCAAGAAAAGGGTAATTCTGTATAGTTGACTTAAGCCTAGCTACTTTCTGCACTTAAACATGAATTGTCTTCCTTTATGGTTTTTATTAGGACACGAAAAGGTTAAGACCATTGAAAGTTAGAACAAAAACATTGTGATACTATTACAATGACAATATTTTTTTTCATCAGACTTGTAATTGGCGCTTTGACAATGACGTGGCACTATTATGATCATGCCAATTGCATTGCCTTTTATCAGACTCATAGTTGGCACTTTGTCAACAACGTTCTGTTAATAATTTTACTCCCTCCGATCCATATCAATTGTCGCTGACTTTGTACTAAATCAGCTAAGTCAGCGACAATTAATATGGATCGGATGGAGTATATTACAACGGAATTGGCTGGTAAAGTAAATACTCCCTCCGTCCCAAAATTCTTGTCTTAGATTTGTCTAAATACGGATGTATCTAGTTACGTTTTAGTGTTAGATACATTCATATCTAGACAAATCTAAGACAAGAATTTTGGGACGGAGTTTTAGCCTACCCCAACTTGTTTGGGACTAAAGGCTTTGTTGTTTTTTTTTTTGTTGTAGGGAGTAGATAATAATGAGTAGTATGCAAATGACCTTCCAATAGTAATACAGCATATGAATTTCCAAATTTAAACATGAAAGACACACAGAGCTTTGGCTGAAAATCAAATGTGCATACAACTTGCAATGGAAGCCAGAACAACAGAAGTAGAGGTTAGTAGAAAAAAAATCACAATAAATCCATTTTAGTTGTACAGTTAATAAACCAAGCACAATGAATGCCTATTCCAAGGAACCATTTGAAAGTTCAAGATAAATCATAGAACTCCTGTTATCTTATGATCAAGAAAATTCCAAGAATAAAGTACAATGAGTAGTCGATATATCCGCCTATGTCTTCTAGGCTGGTAGGAACTGGATCCCTACCAGGGCGTGGTCTCAGGTTGTAGGGGTGGAAGGAGGGATGGCGTGAAGGAAGGCGTGGTCGCCGGCGCTGGGGCGCCGTCGTTGCGTGCGCGCACGAGAGAGAGAGGGCGCAGGGGCGGCGGCTAGGGTTAGGTCTCCCGGCTCCCTAAGGAAGCCGAGCAAATATGATTGCTTCTTCCTTAATCCCAAACGGGTCCTTACATGAGTTTATATAATCCTCCTAATAAGATAATTGGGCTAAGCCCCTACTAATGATAAGATAAACTGGGCCACAACTAACTGGGCTAAGCCCCTAATATGCCGGTCATAACATCTCTCCCCGCCTGCACAAACAGCTCGTCCTCGAGCTGGAAGGCGGGGAAGATCAACGGTCGCCAAACACCTCCGCGTCAACTGGGGTGGGCTGGTCGCCGAGCCCGGCGGCGGCGGGGTCCTCCTCAATGTAGTCTGCAGCCTCCAGGTAGAAGAGTCATGGGCAGACGTGGTCCGGTACGTAGGGCTCGTCGCAGTTGAAGCACAACCCTTGACGGCGACGCTCGAGTTGCTTGGCCGGGGTGAGCCGGCGGAATGGGCGTGCCGCAACCGCGGTGAGGGGCGCCGCGGAAGCCTGGGCAGGCCGACCCTGCGCGGAAACTTCCGGCCAGGGTGGTGGCCCAGCAGCCCGGGGCGGTGGCGCCTGCTGGATGGCCACCGCGCGACGCTCGAACGCGCGGGCGTAGTACATGGACGTCTGGAGGTCTTGTGGCCCGCGCATCTCCACGTCCACGCGGATGGGGTCTGGTAGGCCGCCGAAGAAGAGCTCAGCCCGCTGACGAGTCGAAACGCCGGGGGTGTGGCACGCCAGTGCCTCGAAGCAGTCCGCGATGTCTTGCACCGAGGTGAGGAACGAAAGACGCCCAAGCTCCGCCAGACGGCTCCCGCGTATAGGCGGATCGAAGCGCAAGAGGCACAAATTGCGGAAGCGCTCCCATGGTGGCATGCCGCCCTCGTCCTGTTCGAGGGCATAGCACCACGTCTGCGCGGCTCCTCGGAGATTATACGAGGCGATCCAGGTGCGGTCGGACGCGAGCATGCGCTGTCCCATGAAAAATTGGTCGCATTGGTTGAGCCAATTCAGGGGGTCGACGGTGCCGTCGTAGGTCGCGAACTCTAGCTTGGAAAATCTCGGCGGCGTCTGGACGTGGACGACGGGCGGGTGCGCCTCGTCAGCACGGAGCAGCGAGGATGACGGGGCCGAGTAGGCGGGCATCAGGGTGCCGCCCTGGAACAGGGGCCCATCGACGCCGGCGAAGGGCTCGGCGGAGCCCGAGGACCCGCCAAACGGCATGGCTGGGTGCGTCGCCGGCGGGGGCAGCACGTGCGGCCCGACTGAGGCCGTCGTGTAGACCGGCTTAAGGGACCCAGCAAGCCAGGCCGGTAACGGGGACGACGACAGGGGAAACGGGATCTGGTGGATGGGCACCCCCGGGCCAGTCGTCGGGATGCTCAGGGCCGCGGTCGCCGGTGGCGGCGGCTGCAACTGTTGCCCCTGCTGCATGGTGGAGGCGCCGGGGTTCGTCGCTGGTGGCGGCTGCCACGGCAGCTGCTGCATGGCGGCGGCGATGGGGGTTGCCGAGGATGGCGGCTGCCACGGCGGCGAGGCGGTGGCGAAGGGCACAGGCGGCTGCGGCCCATAGAATCTCGTGAGGAACGTGTAGATGCCTGTGACCGCCTGGGTGATATCCCAGATGGCAGCCGTCATCTCCTCTGGGGTGAAGACGACGGGGACGGGCGGGGGCGGAGGTGACTGGCACCGGCAAGAGCGGGGCACTGGCCATGGTGGCCATCGGGGCGGTCGTCGCGGTTGGCAGCGGGACGGTCGGGGTGGGCGGTGGCAAGGACATGATCACACCGAAGCTATCTGATACCAAATTGGTAGGAACCGGATCCCTACCAAGGCATGGTCTCAGGTTGTAGCGGTGGAAAGAGGGATGGCGTGGAGGAAGGCGTGGTCGCTGGCGCTGGGGCGCCGTCATTGCGTGCGCGTGCACGAGAGAGATGGCGTAGGGGCGACGGCTAGGGTTAGGTCTCCCGGCTCCCTAAGGAAGCCGAGCAAATATGATTGCTTCTTGCTTAATCCCAAAACAGGTCCCTACACGAGTTTATATAATCCTACTAATAAGATAATTGGGCTAAGCCCCTAATAATGATAAGATAAACTGGGCCACAACTAACTGGGCTAAGCCCCTAATATGCCGGTCAGAACATAGGCATAGCCGGTCCCAAGCCCGGGTAAAGGAGGAGGGTTGTGATAGGCTTGGCGAGCCAACGTAAAAACTAGCCAGTCCCATAGGTATGAAACCCATTTGAGCGAGAGTGGTACTAGGATGGGTGACCTCCTGGGAAGTCCTTGTGAAAGGGTTTCATATCTAAGGGTTGTGATAGGCTTGGCGAGCCAACGTAAAAACTAGCCAGTCTTTTGGGTATGAAACCCATTTGGGCGAGAGTAGTACTAGGATGGGTGACCTCCTGGGAAGTCCTCGTGAAAGGGTTTCATATCTAGCCTACCCCAACTTGTTTGGGATAAAAGGCTTCGTAAGTAGGTAAGTAAGTAAGAAGTTCAAAAATATATGTGACAAAACTTGACCTTGTTGGAGAATCATGGGTGGTTCTGTAATAGTTCATTATGTATATCAAGTTTTTTTTAAAGAACTCCCCTTGTGCCTTACAACATCTTGATTCATCAGGTAGGAGAAAGAGGTGTGCAGTTGTCAGGAGGCCAGAAACAAAGAGTAGCTATTGCAAGGGCAATGCTGAAGGATCCACCAATTCTCCTTCTGGATGAAGCGACAAGTGCCCTTGATTCAGAGTCAGAAAAGCTAGTGCAGGATGCACTTGAGAGAGCCATGCATGGAAGGACAGTTATACTGATAGCCCACAGGATGTCCACAATTGTAAATGCTGACACCATTGTTGTCGTAGAGAATGGAAGTGTGGCACAGACCGGGACACATCAAGAGTTGCTCGAGAAAAGCACATTCTACTCAAACGTATGCAGCATGCAAAATATTGAGAAGGAATCTGGAAAGATGGTAGCAAGGTAACTTAACTTTAGCCAAGGGAAAGCTTTGCTTCACCAACGTTTTATTCTTGCTGAAAAAACAGTATATGCATGTTAGGTATTTCATGATGTGCTCTGCTAAGTAGTGCACATTTACCCCATAAGAAACTAGTAAACGGTGCAGTTGATACCGTTGATGTGTTTTCTAGTTCAGTTGATTCAACTGCATTTTTTTGCGTAGTTGACTTGATGCAGTTGATTCACGTGTCTCAACTGTACCACTTACAAGTTAAGA